TTCTTTCTTTCTTTCCCTTCCTCCCTTCCTCTCTTCCTCCCTCCCTCCCTCCCTCCCTCTCTCTCTTTCTTTCTTTCTTTCTTTCTTTCTCTCTTTCTCTCTTTCTCTCTTTCTCTCTTTCTCTCTTTCTCTCTTTCTCTCTTTCTTTCTTTCTTTCTTTCTTTCTTTGTCAATCTTGGGGCTTGAACTCTGGGCCTGAGCGCTGTCCCTCAGCTCAAGGTTAGCACTCTACCACTTGAGCCACAGTGCCTCTTCTGGTTTCTGGTGGAGATAAGAGTCTTACACACTTTCCTGCCCAGGCTGGCTTTGAATCGCAATCCTCAGATCTCAGATTCTTGAGTAGCTTTGGATTACAGGCATGAGTTACTTGGGCCTGGCTGTTTTTATATTTTATTAGCATAAATTACATATACAAAGAAAGTTCATTGTAGCATTTCCATCAGGCATGTAATGCACCCTAATCACACTTGATCTCTCTACTTCCCTTTTCTCCCCCTTCTTAAATTTCAACAGCTTTTCATTGGTCTGTTTTCATACATGTACATAAACTCCTTCAAGTGTACTCATTTACTTTTTTGGTGTTCTTGAGATACTTCAAAGAACATGGGGAATAATGCTTCTTGTCATTTTTGTAAACTTTCTCTTTTTTCGTCAGTTTGCGTCTTGCTGACATTTTGCCTGGGCTGGCCTTATTTGAGCGTCTGACAAAGCCTAGGATGGCAGTGCATGCCAGTAGGCCTGGTCGTGGGTTGAGAAGGAGTCTTGTGAACTTTTCTGCTTGGGTTGGCTTCAGGTACAAAGCCTCCCCAGTAGGGACGGGAGCCAGTGCCCGGCTTATTAACTGTTGTTTTACCTAAAGTGTCCATGGGACTTGCAAAGCACATTTCCTCTAGTTTGTAGGCTAGAATTTGGCGTATCAGTCAAGTCTGCTTTATAGTGTGGCTTTTCTTTTCTGGTCTTTCATTTTCCTCTACTTGATGTGGCCTGATGTACTTGAACTGTACTTCATTTCCAATTGCTTTTCAAAGATTTGGCCATACTTTTATTTTGTACTCTTCTTGCTTTGCTTCAGGTGTGTCTTGCGTAGAGTTGAGTTTTGTTTTTAAGTAGGTGAGTTAATAATTCTTTTAAGTAGGTGAGTTAATAAGCACATTTACATTTGTTAATATGACACTTATTTGGGTTAAGTTTTGTCATTTGTTTTGCTGAGATCTTTTTGCTGCTTGCACTGTATTGCTTTGTGTAGCATTCTGATATTCTAGGAGTTTGTATTTTTGTTCTTGGTTATTTGTATAGTTTATCTTTATTGGGGGCAAGAGCCATTGATTTCTTAGTATAAGGAATAATTTAGTATGTTTCCTCTTCCTCACTGTTTTTCCACCACATAATACCTAGGAAAATTCCCTTCTACGAAGGATTTGCCTTTGTACCATTACTGGGCTTATCAGTGCTGTTGTTTTTCCCATCTTCTCTCCTTTTTCTTCTCCAATTTTTTTGTAAGCCATATCCTTTCTGCAGTGTCAGGGAACATACTTTTTTTTTTTTGCCGGTCATGGGGCCTGAACTCTGGGTCTGGGCGCTGTCCCTCAGCTCTTCAGCTCAAGGCTAGTGCTCTACCACTGGAGCCACAGCGCCACTTCCGGCCTTTTTTCTGTTTATGTGGTGCTGAGGAATCAAACCCAGGGCCTCATGCTTGCAAGGCATGCACTCTACCGCTGAGCTACTTTCCTAGCCTGGAACATACTTTTCTTTGTCACTCTAGCTCTCTGCTTTGTGTTAGTCTCAGTTCAGTATAAGATTCAGAGTGTGTGGTCCGTCCCATAGTCCAGCTATCTTGGCAAGTTCATCCAAACAGTAAGCTTGAAGGCAGGCTGGGAAAATTTCCTAGTTTCTCTATATTTAAAATCATCCGTACCTTTTTTATATGAAGTATGGTATGGCTAGACAATGCACTTTGTGATTCACATTTTTTTTCCTGTATGTTTTTTAGTTATCCTGTTCTCTTTTGGAACTGAACAGTTCAGGCAAAATTGGATATCTATCTATACTATATCTAAAGCTTAGGCATAATTTATAGGTATGTCTATATATGCATAAGAAACTAGATCTCTTTCTCTTACCATACACAACAACTAACTCAAGATGGTGAAAGACTTAAATCCAAAACACTTCAAGACATTAGTGTTGTTGACACTTTTTTTTTTTTTTGCAAGCCCTGGGGCTTAAACTCTGGCCTGGGTACTGTCCTTGAGCCTCTTTATGATCAAGGCTAGTGCTCTACCACTTGAAAAGAAACATTTCTGGCTTTTTCTGAGTAGCTTATTGGGCTGGTGGCTCATGCCTGTAAACCTAGCTACTCAGGAGGCTGAGATCTGAGGATTGCAGTTCAAAGCCAGCTGGGGCAGGAAAGTCTTATCTCTAATTAACTACCAGAAAACCAGAAGTAGCACTGTGGTTCAAGTAGTGGTAGAGTGTTTGCCTTGAGCTGAAGAGCTGAGGGACAGCACCCAGGCCCATGACTGACAAAAAAAGGAATCTGCTGGGCGCCCGGTGGCTCATGCCTGTATCCTAGCTACTCAGGAGGCTGAAATCTGGATCGCAGTTCAAAGCCAGCCTAGGCAGGAAAGGCCGTGAAACTCTTTTTTTTTTTAAATTTTAATTTTAATTTTTTGCGAACATAGTGTACAGAGGGGTTACAATTACATGGGCAAGATAATGTGTACATTTCTTATCAAGCATTGCATCCTCCTCCTTTGTTTCCCCTTCACATCTCTTCCCAGCCTTACCAAAGTTGTAAAGTTCGTTTTCGACATGACAACTTGTACTTCTCATAGTTGCAACGGGTGCACCTGTATCCTTAAACAACTTGTTTTTCCCCATCTCCTCCACAAATTATACGGACATCAAATATAGTGAAAGCAGGGGTTATACTGTGGGGGAGGGACATACAAAGCAACAAAGAAATAATCTTATAAATGAGTTAGAAACAAATGCATGAAAGAAAAAAACATTTCAATACTTATCTAAGGATTCATTTCCGTGAAACTCTTATCTCCAATAAACCACCACAAAACCAGACATGGTGCTGTGGCTCAAGTTGGTAGAGTGCTCGCCTTGAGCTGAAGACTGAGGGACAGTGCTGAGGCCCAGAGTTCAAGCCCATGACCGACCCCCCCCCCCCAACCAAAAAAAAGGAATCTAACAAACTTTCTGCCTGGGCAAGCGTCGAACCACGATCTTCAGATTTCAGCCTTCTGAGTAGCTTGGAATATAGGTATGAGGTACCAGTGCCCAGCTAAGACTGAAGAGTTTTAAATGAAGAGATGGCAGAGGTAGCAAAAATGCATATATTGAAGCTGAAGCATTTCATCTTACACTTTAAAAGTGTATTTCCTTCCTAAGTGCTGTAAACTTAAACCTCAGTATAATTTATGGCCTTCTGTTTATATACAAAGCATATTTTATGATGACCCTAATGGGTTGTGTAGCAGTGATATATATCCTATCCTATATTTAGTATTAAGGACTTGAGGTGGGAATTAAATTGTTGGGGTAATCTCTGGGAGAGTTCCCCACTGGCCTCTGCCAAATGTGGTGTCTGTTCACTTTTCAGTACAGTGCAGGGTAATGATAATTTGTTAGTCTAATTCTATCTGTACATTTTCACACATTTTCCATGTTAGCTATTGAAATGCTCAAACATGTTATCCAGTGATGCCTTTTTCCTACAGTGAAATGAATTTCCATAAAGGCTAAAATTTAAACCATCTATTACTTGTCTGTTAAAGGACAGTGTTGAGAAAACTCTATGTTGGTTCCATGCTCTCCAAATTTGTTAGGATACAACAGTCTCTGCATGTGCTTGTTCCCATCAGGGCTGGACTTATTCCCGTGAGGTGCAAGGGTGCACCTGGTTAGACTTCTCCCTTTGAAGCCACCCAGGACAAACAGATTCTATATTGTGCAACCCAGGACCCAGGGCTTTACTGGCAATTTCTTCCTAGCCCGTACCCAAATTCCAGACTCTCAGATGGATATTTAGCATAAGTCATTGTTCCAACGAGCCATTCTTACCAAGGAATGTTGGAAATGTTCCTGAGATCTAATTCCAGCTACCAGCCAGGCCATCTTGTCATTGATGTAGGTCTTCTAATGATAAGTCTCAGGCCAGCTGAGTTGATTCTAGTAGTAGAAATCAAGATGTCTTTTATTTTAAATACTTAAAATACTCTAAAACATGTCTATGGAATGTTATCAGACTCTTTTCATATTAGACTTGCTTTTTATTGAAACTGGTACATGACATAGTCATTTTGACATTTTGACATTTTCTTCTGTTCCCTTTCTAACTTCCCTTCCTTCATATCAGACCATTTGTTCTTTCCCAGTCTTAGTGGTAAGAATTGCTCTGCACTCATTGAAACTGATGGTACTAAGATACCTTGAGGGAGAAATAAATGTGGGAGGTGGGCAAGTAAATCACAAGCAATGGTAGTGTTGATTGCAGTGAGAAGCTTCCTTACTTTTCTGAAGTTTATGAAGGACATTGTGGAGGTCGTACCACATAAGCTCTTAACAGTCATAGCCGTAGTGAAGAGGCTGGGTCCAGTGATGACCTTAGTGTCAGTTTTTCAAGAAGAAAAGGCAATGAGTTCTGATTTCTCCTCTTCAACCTATTTTGACAGCTATTCAGGATTATGAAGCTGCTCAGGAGCACAATGAAAATGACCAGCAAATCCGAGAAGGTCTAGAGAAAGCACAGAGACTATTGAAACAGTCACAGAAACGAGATTATTATAAAATCTTGGGAGTAAAAAGGTAAGTTACTAAGTTAAGTTTTTATTGCTATAGTGAACTGTTTTGAAGCTACTAATTGCTCTTTTTTCCTTTCCTCTACTATGGAATCTTCCTCATATTATTTGAGCAATCTTTAGCATTATAAAGCCATTTCTTTGATAGAGAGGAATAATACAGTTCAGAATTACAAGTTGGTGGCAAAGAAGCTGGGCAGGATGGCTTATGCATATAATCCTAGTTACACAGGAGGTTGAGATCTGGAGGATCTTACTTTGACCAGGGTTAGCCTGGTCAAAGTTTGCAAGACCAATAAGAGTTGAGTGCAGTGGTATGTACCTGTCATGTCAACTATATGACAAGCCTGTGGTCCAGGCCCACAAAAAGAGTTGGAGGTGTCACTTAAGAGGTAAAGTACTTGCTTTGAAATAATAAGGTTTTCACTCTAAACACCAGTAACCCTCCACACACCGCAAAGAAAAAGGCAGTGGTGTGAATAGGCCTGGATTTTTAGGAATGATTAAGTAGTAGGAGCAAGTGCTTACTTTGGCAGTACAGATACTAAAATTGAAAAAGCCATTGTGCAAGAATGACATGCAAATTTGTGAAGTATTCCTTTTGTGTATGAGAGAGGGAGAGAGAGAGAGAGAGAGAGAGTGTGTGTGTGTGTACACGCATGTGCATATGTACCCGAGCGCCAGTCCTGGGGCTTGAATTCTAGGCCTGGCCACTGTCCCTGAGCTTCTTTTTGCTCAAGGCTAGTGCTCTATTACTTGAGCCACAGTGCCACTTCTTTGAGTAGTTTACTGGAGATAAGAGTCTTCTTGGGACTTTCCTGCCTGGGCTGACTTTGAACTGTGATCCTCAGATTTCAGCCTCTTGAGTAATTAGGATTATAGGTGTGAAACATTGGTGCCCAGCTTTTTCCATATTTTTATATGGCTGAAGTGCTCTATCTACATATATGAATGTAGAACAATAAAAACTGTTGAAATTATTTCAAGGAGAGAGAAGGGATGAGAAAGAATTATAGAGGGGATGAATTTGATTGGGGTACCTTGTATGTATATATGGAAATAGCACAATGAAACCCTTTTGTGTAACACATGTTAATAATACACACACATACACACAGAATTTCTTCTCTGGTGCTAAGGATTTACCCCAAGGCTTTGCCTGCCAAAGCAAACTCTCTCTCTACTACCAAGCCTCCTCCTTCCTTTGTCCTACAAATGTCTCTTAGCTCTTCTGATTTTTTTTTCCTGGTGCCAGTCCTGGGGCTTGAACTCAGGGCCTGGGTGCTCTTTGTGCTGAAGGCTAGGGCTCTACCACTTGAGCTGCAGTTCCACTTCTGGCTTTTTGGTGGTTAATTGGAGATAAGTCTCACAGAGTTGCCTGCCCAGGCTGGCTTTGAACAGTGATCCTCACATCTCAGCCTCCTGAGTAGTTAGGATTAGACGTGAGCCAACAGTGCCCAGAGGATCTTCAAATGTTTTTTTTTGGGTCCGGTCATGGGGCCTGAACTCTGGGCCTGGGCTCTGTCCCTCAGTTCTTCAGCTCAAGGCTAGCGCTCTACCACTTGAGCCATCGCACCACTTTCGGATTTTTTTTTTCTGCCTATGGGGTGCTGAGGAATCGAACCCGGGGCTTCATGCATGTGAGGCAAGCACTCTATCACTGAGCCACCTTCCCAGCCCTGGATCTTCTAATTTTTAAAGTAGTAGATAGGACACAACTTTAATAACTGTTTATTTTACCACCCTTCAGAAATGCCAAAAAGCAAGAAATCATTAAAGCATACCGAAAATTAGCATTGCAGTGGCATCCAGATAACTTCCAGAATGAGGAAGAAAAGAAAAAAGCTGAGAAAAAATTCATTGACATAGCAGCTGCTAAAGAAGTCCTCTCTGACCCAGGTATCATCTGTTCTCCCATTCTCCTGACAGTGTAGTTCACTCTTCTACCTTTACCCATTTCAGGCAGGGTACCAGGTAGAAGGTGGAGAGCAAGAAGGGTGGTTACCGTGGACCATGGCTGTGAATGGTCCTTGGGTCGGCAGTTTCCCAAGTCCAGATGCATGTCCAACTCTGGCATCCCCAGTGAACATGGTAAAGTGGAAAAGCATCAGATAAGGAATTTTTGAAAAGACAGTGATTTGGATCCTTTTTCTACTTGAAAAGGTACCTACTAGTCTTTAACGCTCAGTGTTTTCCCCGATATGGGAGCACACAGGCATCTCTTAGATGCCTTCCAGCTTTCTAAGCAGTGATCAATTCTCTTTACCAAACTCCAAGGAGCATGGCGAGGCAATCTCCCAATAGTTTGACTTAAGGTAATCTTGCCCTAAGTTTTATGATTAGATTTACTGGTAAAGATGTATTTTTTTTTAGCATACATTAATAAGTGAGACAAAGATGGCAATAACATTGAATAATGCTTTGCCACCTACAAAGGAAGTTGACTCTGAGTAGATACCCATTGCTTTTTGTGTGGCCTTCATGCCAGTGTAGGCAGGAGCTGGTTTGAGTTACACAGATTCAACAATTGGAAATCAAATTTTGCCCCAGTAAATCGTTTAAGCATCTATTCAATTTGAGGAATTGAAATTAAATGATCTTTTAAAAACTTATAAATGACAGAAGTGTACCTCCCTAATTGCAACAAGAATAAAAACATTGTTCTATTCTTCAGCAATTATCAAGTGTCTTCCATGTTCCCTGAGTAGTTCAGCCTGTGTAGTTTGAAGGCTGGGCAGCTGCATTGTACCTAGAGTCCGGCATCCACTGAGCATGAGGAGAGCCAACCATCTCTCAAGCTTTTCTGCCTGGGTCAGCTTTGAACTGTGATCAGCCTCTAGGATCAGTAGCTAGGATTACAGGCCAGACCCATTGGCGCCTGATGAATCCTTTTTCCAGTCACTGTCATCCTACTCTGCAGCATTCCTTGCTGTGTCCCCCTCCCATGTGTCTGTATCGGCCTCTAGGGAGCCTCATTCCCCTCATGTTTGAGAAAACTTGATGCCATTCTGATTACTGGGGTTGTTAGAAAACCCATTAGATATTTGGAGCAGTAGTAGTAGTTGGTGAAGATGTGGTCTGGCAGGCTTCATTTTGGGGGATTAGGGTGGTGATATGCTCTTTCAGAGGCGCTGCTTTTAGAGGTCTCTTTCTGTAATGTAACATTCAGGCATCGCTGTTTCACTGAAACAATTCCCTGAGTCCTGTCCCCACATAGGAGTTAATGCTTGTGTCTTTGACTTTTTTGAGACAGGTCTTGCCATGTACCCAATATCCCAGGCTGGTTTTCCTGCTTCTGTCTCAGTTCTGGGACTAGAGGTGTCCCCACGCCCAGCAGTATTTGGGTCTTAACTTGCTGACTTCTTTTCTAGAAATGAGGAAGAAGTTTGATGATGGAGAAGACCCCCTGGATGCCGAGAGCCAGCAGGGAGGTGGAGGCAGCCCTTTCCACAGAAGCTGGAACTCATGGCAGGGGTTCAACCCCTTCAACTCAGGAGGACCATTTCGATTTAAATTCCACTTCAATTAAACCATTTTTCTGCTTTTTTCCTTTTTTTTTTTTTAAGATTAAAAACAAACCTTGTTCTGGGATCCTAATGAAAAAAAAAAGTCAAATATTTCAGTTTGTCCATGACCAAAGAGTTGTTTTAATAGAAAAAAGGCTGCTCCTACATATTTGAAACTTAAGGTTGGTGATGTATGCGGGCAGGGAGGTAGGAAAAGTTCTGTTTCTGACAGAGTAGCCCATGCTCATTTCTGAATGTTGGGGAGACGTGGTCTGAGGCAGCTCACCTATGGAGGTGCTCACAGTCTGTATTTTTCCACATTGGAGCAGGTAGAGCCTTCTGTTCTCAGCCTTGCCTAGCACCTGTAGGAGCTGGAATCCTCATGGGGGTGTGTTTCAGTATTCTTACAGAGGACGAACAGTTGTGCTGTTATGTTCTTTAGGGACAAATATGCTTAGACTTTGGTCAGTGCAGTCACTTGCAAGTGTGAAATCCCTGTGCCTCTTTGAATATGTAAGCATTTACTCCTGTGCTAGAGCCAACACAGCGGTCACTGGGGAGAGAGCAGAGTCCATGGTAAATTTGTTACCCAATAGTAATCAGCATGTTCAGGTATAAACTGGACTGGTTGAGGATATAGTCATGGTTATTGCTGAATATTTGCAGAATTCCAACTTGAATTTAATTGTAAAAACCAATGGGCCCTTTTGTTTTAACATTAAATGGAAAAACTAAAATATATAAAATAGATTCAGATAGTGTGAGTAGTAGTATTTAAAATATTGCTGAGGTTCATTTTAAACAAATGACTTCTGAATTATATACAATTTCTATGCCCAAATTGGCTTAGAAAGGTAAAGTTGCTCAGTCAGTATAAACACAGCATGCATGATTCCCCCTTGAAGCAATACAAGCGGGCAGCTTCTCCTTCCCTTCTTTGTCATTGGGTCAGCCCTGTGGGATGTGCTGCTTCCTGGTGCCTTGGCTGTCGGCTGCCCTGAGCAGGTCTGGATGCTGCCAGTGGTCTCTTGCCTCAAATTCTACAGGCTTGTGATTCAGCCTTCTTACAAAATAAGACAAAGGCAAGAAATGTACTACTCAGTCTGGATATACTAGATAATTTTTGCCCTAAAAAATGAGTGTTACTAAATCAAGAATGTTGAAAATTTATGGAAATACTGATGCTGCATTTAAAATCTAAGAGATGAGAATTATTGCCTTTATTTTAGAAAGGTTTTTGTTTCTGTCTTGAAGCCTTTTGTAACATTTTAAGCATTAAAGGGTCTACTATATTGTCTTTATGAAATTAAGCATTTTGTTATGGGAGGCAGTTTGACTCTGAATGTCTGTAGTAGCCAAGCACAAATGGTCGTCTTTTATCCTTAACCCTTGTGTAACAAGACTTTTTGACATTAAGAATTTAGTTCAGATGGTTTTAATTGAGCCAAACATTTAAGTGCTTTTTTGCATCTCCCTTGGAATTTATTTCTTACCAATCAGCTTAACAGTTCATTTTTGAAACTATTGGACACCTTGTAGCTTTCATTTCTAAAATTTTAGGTCAGTGTAAAAATAATTCCCAAGCTAGTTCACTTTTGTCTATTCATTTACTGTTGGTAATCACAGTCCTTCGCTAGTTATGTGACTGTTTTTCAATCTGGCTCCTTTTGTGATGGCGTCAATGACCTCTGAAATACAGCGGTGGTCTCTACTCTCAAATGTGAGGATTTGCATAGTTGGAGCACAGGAAACATGAAGTCACTTATTCCTCCATCTGGAGAAAGAGAAAAGTTGCCAAGATTGAGGAGCCAGAGCTAGCTGTGGGATGTTCAAGGGTTGGGCCACATGGGAAATGCTTCTAATCTGTTTGCCTCAACTTGCTGCCCAGCGGGATTTGCATTTTAATCCCCCCATTTGTAACAGTCAGAACAACTGTGGATATAGTTATCAACTGAAATGTGCAGAAGTACTTGCCTGTGAAGAGGAAGAGGAAGCCTTGGTGCCAGGTGCTAAGTGCCAATGCCGTGGAAGAAGCGAGGTCTCTGGATTCTGGTGCTTTGCTGATGGAGAGAATGGCCTTTCGGTTCCAGCCTGGATGGCCATCCCGAGTCATCTGGTGTCCACCCACGTGGACTCTCCTCAGCAGTGACTGAAAATCCTGGAGACATGAAGTCAGAAGCATCGTCTCTCCCTCCTGCCTACATTGGGTATCATGAGATGTGTAAACATTACTGAAATAGCTTTTTCCTCCTTTTCTTTCCTTTTGTAGGGCCACTTCTTTAGTTCAGTCTGTTCCTAGAGACTGCAGGTACCAGGTTATTTTTGTGGCAATTCTGGGAAAAATAAGAGGTAGCTCTAGCTGAATTCTTCTAGGTTCTAATGCACCCCTCTCTTTTGGTGATCTCCAGGAGCACAGTGTCTTGGGTCTAGGTGCTGTGCACGCTCTCTAGAACAGCAAGTATTAAATATAGCCTGTGAACACAAAGCTTACAAAGGGAATCTGCATTGAATTCATTCCTCAGTTCTGCAAGTTTGTGCTTTCATACCATGAATAGATGAAAACCAGAAAATGATGTCCATAGTTTACTATTGTGAATTGGAGGTGACATATTAAGTTTAAAATATTTTCCCCTTTAGTAGGTGTTAAAAGTTTACTTTTAAATATCAATATGGGAAAACAGGTTATGGAGCGACCTCTGATAATGGAATCTAAACAAACTACTCATGATTTTTTTAACAGAAAAATACTGATAACCAAGTTTTTATTAAAAAAAAGTAGAATAATTTGAGATTGGCACCATTTTCTATTGTTGGTTGTATAAAGAAATTTTTCTTTTTCTTTTTGGTGGCGCTGGTGTTAGACTTGATGCTTGTTTAGCTCACATGTTGAGCTTGAGTCACAACTTTAGTCCTTTCGCTGGTCTTGAAGACTTTTCTCTTGGGTTGCAGGCCTTCAGATTTCAGCCTCCTGAGTAGCTTGGGTTACAGGTGCAAGCCATTGGAGCCAAGGAATATTTTTTTTATAAGTACCGTGTGCGCTAACCGATTGCGCCACTGGAGCTCCAGGAATATTTTTCTTTTAAAGGTTTGCAATTGGTCTAAGTTGAACTGACATTACCATGAAGAAAGTATAACATGCAAAAATTAAAAATATGTCTTAGTTAACTCTGTCAGAACCATTTGCCTTAAAGATACAGGGCACTGGTGATGGACATAGATGGCTGGTGATATTTTCAGTGAGTACACATCTATGAGATAACTTAAAGAAAGATGGCACCTTCCTTGAATTCAGTTGACTTTCATAGTTACAAAGGAAGGCAAATGCTAATTTGTCAACCATGATTATCTCTGTTCTAGATCAGATCATTCCTTTTATGTTAGTGGCAGAGTTTAATTTATTCTGTAGTTTCAAGTGATGTTAAGGGGGGAATACTTTTTAACAGATGATCTCATTTGCTGAATGATTTAAGAGTAAAATTAGCCACTGCGTGGCTTCATGTACAGTAACAACAGATTCTGTTGTACTCGTCTGTGGATAAAACACCTACCTGAAGAGGAAAGCAGGGCACAGAGGAGGTCGAAACTAGAGATACTTGAGAAGTTAAATTATTACTCTTACCCTAAGGGTCTGGTTTGTTTTGAATGAGACATGGTTAACTTAATCCATCTCAATTTAGTAGAAAGGGAACTGAACGTTAATTGAAATGGCTCTCAACACATGTCTACAAATATGGGTACTATTTTTAATGCCCGTGTATTTTCACATTTAATAAAAATATTTATGGTCATATCAGTACTTTCTTCCTGTTGATTTATGTTGTCTTTTGAGTGCAAAACTTAAATGAGAGGAAGTGGTGCTGTGGCTCAAGTGGTAGAGCGCTAGCCTTGAGCTGAAGAGCTGAGGGACAGCGCCCAGGCCCAGAGTTCAGGCCCCACGACCAGATCCA